GTTATCCATAGGGGTACCGTAGTGGCGCGAGGTACTGCCGAAGCCTCCGCCGATGGAAGAGCCGGGCACACCGACGTGGGCGCCACGAACGTGGGGGATGTGACGACCATGGTTGTCCCAGAGATACTTCAGAACGGGGCCGACGTGCGTGCCACCACCGAAGGTGAGCGTGTCGGAGCAGTTGGAATAGCTGACCTCGTCAAAGGCAGACAGGTTGATGACGAGGTTGCCAGCGTTGCCGTAACCAAAACCGGTGAAAGAGTGAGCAGCTCCCAGGGCGACGGCCTTGACGGAGGACTCCCGGGCACAGGCGAGGGAAGAAGCAACCTGGTCGCGGGTCTCAGGGAACGAGATAGCGGCAGGGGCGGCAGTCAGGCGCTTCTGGAACATGAGAGTCTGATCAGGCCATGTCGTATCGCTGCTGACGATGGAGCGAACGCCCGCGGTGGTGAGGCAAGACTGAAGAGCGGCCGACTTGTCTGTCTGGGCAGACACGGCCGAAGGGGCCAGGCTAAGGAGCGAGGCGACGGCCAAGCGTCGAAGAGACAAAGTGGAGTCCATAACTGATGATGTTGCGGGCAAAGGCAGGAGACTGCGAAAGAAACAAGAAAGCAAGTGCCGTGGTGATCCAGAAACTTCAGGATAAGCCACAATCGTACGGACGACCTACTTATAACTGGTGGGCATCGAGAGAAGGACTGGTGACAATCTTAGAGGCACCATCCAGGAGTCTTGGCACTCTTGCGCCTTGATCGAGTCTCGGTACTTCGGGCCATCGTTCTGTATGCGCAAAAGGACCTCAAACCACCCGGCGCCTCTTACAAAGCTTCTCAGAACCCTTGTCGGCGGATGTTTTGTTGTCCCGGTAGACAAAGTGGAATTGGGATGATCTGAACTTTATCAGATCAACCTACCTTAATCGGAACGCCGGGACGGGGCGCGTGGCTCGTTTGAACAAGCATATCCCACCGTGAAGCTTCGCACAGCCCTCGGGGCCAAGACCTGAATTCGGCCCCAGGAGCCCCAGGAGCCCCATTCGGTACAGATTAGAATAATAAGCTCTTGGGGAAGCTGGAAGTGG